CTAGAGCTCACCAATAGTTAGCCAGCTTCTTTGGGAATGCCAACCCCTGAGTTTTGAGACTGCAGCTACAGGCCTGCTTCAACTACTCCCTTGACATTTTCTTTAGTGCTGAGATCCAAACTTTGCTCCTCCTGCTTGTCTGAAGGGCCAGAGCCCTCTGCCCCCCCCATTTTGGTTTTGTTTTAGTTTATTTGTTTGAGATAGTTTCACTGTGTAGCCCTTGCTGTCTTAGAACTTACTATGCAGACCAAGCAGGCTTCAGACTCAGCACGATCCCAAGTGCTTCCATTAAAGGAGTTGCTCCATTATGCTTGCCTTCGGGCCAGCACCGTAGCCTCTGAGCTCTCACCACAGCTACCACCTATTTTGAATATTATATCAGTCTGAGCCCTGGCATCATATCAATGATTGAAAAACCTCTGTGTCCCACTCCATAAGGAACCTGCTCTTGTGTGGTGTTTATGTTTACTGGTGGACCCTGAAAAGGAGTGAATAGAGAGGTGGTGAGGCCCAGAGGTAGAGGTGCCTGTTTCTATCATGCCACACATGGTAGAAAGAGTTATCTCCTGTGGCTAGGCCTATGTCCTTCACACCTGGCCTTAGCACTCCCACAGACGTCCACACAAGCACAAAATAAATAATAAAGAAAAATAAATAGAAAAAAATACAGATAAGTAGAAAGATGCATTTTTTCCTTTTTTAGAAAAAATTCTTTTTCTTTTTCTAGACATGGTCTCACTATGTAGTCCATGAACTCACTATGTAGGCCTGGAACTCACAGAGATCTGCCTGTATATGCCTCTTAAGAGCTTGCAGGACACCAAGCGTATTCTATAAAGGACAATAGAGAGAGTTTGAAAGTCTTCCACATTGCCCAGGGAAGACTTCTTGGAAGAGGGTAGGGAGGCCGCTTATGAAGAGTGGGCAGTAACAGTCCATGTGGTGCAGATAACATAAGTCACTGCCTTACTTTTACTGGCTTTATGTAGACAGATGGGTGGAAAGGATATTTTACTTAAAAATGCCTCATTAGATGAGAATTCTTTGGGAAGCATTTGGGATTAATTTGAACGAAGCCTCTCAGCTCTAAAGTCTTCTGAGGGTCCTTAAAAAGAATGGCTCATAAGATCAACTGGGAAAGAAAGTTTTGCTTTTGTATTGTGTGTGTGTGTGTGTGAGAGAGAGAGAGTGTGTGCGCATGCGCGTGTGTACACACACACACACACACACACACACACACACACACACACACACACATGCACACACACATCTCTTCTTTTTTTTCCCACAAAATTAGTGTAGTTTTTGCACATGATTGTTACCTACTTAGTGATATGGAGAGAAATAATTATTTCAATAACCCGTTCTAATTTTTTTCTACTCCTGACTGAAAACTGCTCAGAGCTCAATATTAGCTCCAGAAGGTGGAAAACACAGAACAGTCTTATGATAGCAATCAAAAATGTGTTTGTTGGCAGCAATTTCTATCCCCAAATTTACAGTAAATCCTGAGCCCGTGAGTTATGGGTAAAAATCCATCTGATAAATAATGTATCAGGTAATAAGCATCAGGATAAAAAAATGTTTTCCATTGAAGAATTCAAAACGAAAGAATAAGTCTGGGAGGTTTGCTCAGAAGAAGGTAGCTTTTGCATGGAAGCCAAGAAAGCTGTAACCATTTGTTCTGAATTCTCATTCGCTTGGTAGCAGCACTCTGTGACATATAGTTCCAGATCTTTCCTGAATGCTAACTTTCAGAAAAGCTTAGTGTCCAGATTGTATGGCTCTGGATGACAGACTTAGGGCATGTATTTCACCCTTTGAAACTTTTAAACTGTAGCCAGGTGGTGGTACATGTCTTTAATCCCAGCACTCAGGAGGCAGAGGCAGGCAGATCTCTATGAGTTTGAGGCCAGCCTGGTGTACAGAGCAAGTTCCAGGATAGGCTCCAAAGCTACACAGAGAAATCATGTCTTGAAAAACCTAAAACATAACAAATAAAACAAAAAACTTTTAAATTGTTTAAAATAGTGTGTGTGTGTGTGTGTGTATGCGTGCAGTACACATGTGTGGACACACACACACACACACACATACACACACACACACACACACACACACACACACACACACACACGTACAGGTGGCCACAAAACCCAGAGGTGTTGGATGCCCCTGGAGTTGGAGTTACAGGTGGTTTTGAGTCACTTGATGTGGGGTCCTGGAACTCAAATTTGGGAAGTCTGAAGAGTAGTAGGTGCTCAGAAACACCAAACCATCTTTTCCATCCTTCATTTAACCTTTTAATTCCCACAGATAAGTAGGTGCCCATGCCCTCATTTTGTACATGGATAAGCTGAGACTCAAAAAGGATAGCTAACTCCCCTAGGGTCACAGGGCTTAGTTGGTATTTGAGTCGATGTTAATTAAATTAATAATCAGAGATTTTGGAATAAATTGTGTAACATACTTCTGAGGACAACTTGATTTAGGCTGCTTCAAGCATCTAGTTAGCTGGATGACCTAGACTTTGAGAAGGACTTAGCTGCTAGTTTTTGACCAAATACAAGCATCAAATCACACAGAATAGCAAGCCATGGGCTTGCTTTTCCCCGTCATTATCCCACTTGCTCCCTAAAGCAGTTGGGTGTTTAGCAGGTGGCAGATAGTAAATTATTGTTCTAAATGGTGCCCGATAATAATAAGGAGGCAGCTCCCATAGTGTCAGTCCGCAGACAAGGGAATAATTAACGCACTTATCCAAGCAGATGGATTTCAGAGGGATCTGAATACTACTCAAAGCACTGTATCAGTATTTTATTTATTTATGGAATTTGACAACGGCGTTATTACTTTGTATCTGATTATTATGCTGACACGTTTGCTCTTCCTTTGTTATTATTTCTTCTTCTTAGAAGTACCATTCGCTTCAGCTTTTTAAAAAATGTATCTCCTTATTAAGATTGCAGCACAGAAACATAGGAGGCTGGGGAGGAGTCTGAAATACATAAAATGAGGAAGAAGGAAGGAAAGAATGAGAAGGAGTTTTTGTCCCCTTAGCAGGCCCTGGTCTTTATTCCCACTGCCTTTTCTCCGCCTTTGTTGAGAGGGGGCATAGAGGCATTGTAAAGGTCTGTTTACATGCACTTCCCACTCCAGCCTGCTTTCATTCCTTCAAATCTGGTTTTGGGGTTATTTATTGCGATACTGCCAGGTTCCAGGACGGAGTCTGGTCCTAGACAGATGCCCTCTGTGGTTGACTGGATGAAGGAACGGTGAGTGAGGAAAAGGATGCCCAGAGTCCAACTAGAGACTGGAGGAGGAGGAGAGTGCAATTGTGAAGAAGGAAGAACCCGAAAGTACTTGAGGGATGGAGAGAGAAATGGAAACGGATGTCCCCAAAGGCTGGACTGGGGAGAGAGGAGGCCTGAGTAGAGATCACAAGAGGATTCGAGCGAAAAAGTGGGAGAATGGAGAGGGCGAGAGCGAGACAAAGAGCAGCGGGCCGAGTCTACTCAGAGGCTGGTCGTGGGAAGAGATGGGGAAAAGTGGCCGGGCGGGGAGACGGCGGCGGAGGAAGGGGCGTGAGGGAGGAGAGCCGGGGCGGGGCGGGGCGCGGGACACC